GTTTATAATTAGCACACCAGGCTGAACTATAGGCAATAACTCAATAAAGCTTTACAGTGTTTGCTTCTGTGTCCATGAGATACCCCAGCAACTTTTCAGCTCTGGAGGCGAAATGTTTCCATGTGGATCTGAAGTGAGTGGAGACATCTGAACTCCCATTTCAAATAATCGCTTTCCACAAACTTTACAGAGAGTTGGGGACGATTTTGTTGTTGTTTATATTGGCTGTGATTTTTTAAAAAGCAATTCCAGTATTCACTCTAGTGTTGTTGCAGTTGAGACTAAGCAATTCTTGCTTCCAGGGTCTTGTATGTATTGTTTATGTTACTTGGAAACTGCTCTGAGTCCCCTTGGGGAGATAGAGCGGTATATAAATAACGTTTTGTTGTTGTTGTTGTTGTTGTTGTTGTTTCTAACGTTGCTTTTTAAAAGAACTCTGATCTAGAGCTGAAGTGTCTAAAGCCACTGTTAGAAATGTCCTTCTCAAATGTGCGAAAATGTGGAATTTGTAATATGGAGATTCATTGCAAAGATATTCAGTATGTGACTATAGCATTGACGAAACAGGTCTTTGACCAAGTTACCTCCCACTCACCCTGTCTCTTTGTCTTTCTCTCTCTCTCTATCTCTCTCTCTCTCTCCCTGTCTTCATAATTTTGGCAATCAAATTTGATTTCTCTTATTGCCCAACATGAAAGAAATTGGTTTCTCATGAGCTGGCTTTTGGGTGTTTAATGTGGAAATCGGTGAGAGCCACTTTCAAAAACTCATTGGAAGGCAATAATGGATGCCATCTTTACTTTGTGCTATCCAAATAGAAATAGTAAGTAGGTTCTGGAATAAAAACAGTGAACATGCTCCCTCACTAACCATTTAACCTGGATCTTGATGAAGAACTGTTACATGAATTTGTTACTTGTTCCATTTTCTAATCTTTATGCAATCCTCAAAAATATAGGCACTTAATCTATATAAATAAAAATGTAATGTTTGTTTGTGGGATTAACATAACTCAGAAACCGCTGGACGAATTGCCGCCAAATTTGGCCACAAGACACGTACTAACCCAAGGAGTGACCATCACTCCAAAAATTGATTTTGTCATTTGGGAGTTGTAGTTGCTGGGATTTATAGTTCACATACAATCAAAGAGCATTCTGAACTCCACTTGTGATAGAATTGAACCAAACCTGGCACACAGGACTCCCATGACCAACAGAAAACACTATAAGGATTTGGTGGGCATTGACCTTGAGTTTGGGAGTTCTAGTTCACCTACATCTAGAGAGCGCTGTGGACTCAAAAAATGATGGGTCTGGACCAAACTTGGCAAGATTATTCCATATGCCCAAATATGAACACAAACAGAGTTTGGGGGAAATAGATCTTGACATTAGGGAGTTGTAGTTCACCTACAATCAAAGAGCACTCTGAACCCCACCAATGACAGAATTGGGCCAAACTTCCCACACAGAACCCCCATGAGCAACAAAAAATACTTAAGGCCATCCAGTCCAACTCCCTTCACCAGGGCAGGAAAATGTAATCAAAACCCTCCTGACAAAAAAGCCATCCAGCCATAGATATAGATAGATAGATATGATTCACACACACAGAGATATAGTATCATAGATTTGTGGCAAGTTCCAGAGTCGGCAAAACAGATAATCTCCACATCAATACTGACAAAGAATCAAGAAATACTGTTTACCCACAAGCATAAAGAAATTACATATATTAGAAACCAACACTTTCTCATAACTTTATTTTCCAGGTCACCAGACTTGGCCACAGCAACGCGTGGCAGGGGATGGCTAGTTCTTAATAAGGAAGTTAACTTATGTCAGTTGACTATTCACCTAGCTTTGCCCATCTTTTATCTTAGATTGGTGCCAGAGCTTAAGACTGTGTCTTTTTTGGACTACGACTCCTAGAGTCCCCCAACGACCCAATTATCTGGGACCCTAGGAACTGTTGTACAAAGAGCATTTTTCCAAAGTCTGAGTGGACCCAAAAAGTCCATTATACAAGGCGCTGAGCCAATTCTTCATCCCACCAAACTACGAGATATACATTAGGAGGCATCTGTTCCTGCAGTATAGCCTCTGTTAAATTTCTGCAAAGCAGTTTGTGTCTCGTTTTTCTCGCGGCAAGTACATCTGTAGTTGTAATAATTGCTTGTAATTCCAGGATGTTGTATGCTAGGGAGGCATTTGTTTGTGCAATGCTTGTCAGGCACATATTCATGTTTCACTTCATTGGCCTTACAAATTGTCGGCTGATTGTTTGTTTGTTTTTTGTTTGTGTTTCAACTCGTGTGAAAGACACTGAGCAACAGAATACATTTTTTTTTTTATTCTAGAGTGATAGGAATGACATTTTGTAACTTGATTTTTCAGCTGTGAAATGAAAATAACTAAGTACAACCCCCCGGCAATTCTGTTCTTTGGTTTTTGCTCCTGAAGGTGTTTAAGGTTCAGCCATCTTTGGCTCTGGTTCAGAAACATCCTAGTCGGACGCTTGATGGACTAATGACAGGCATGCAGGTTTAAAAGCTGTCACAGATGAGATGCTACAGATAGATGCTTTTTGTTACAGGTTTTTTTTTTTACCCATTTGGGAAGCATGTAGGTTCAAAACAGACATAATGGTAACACGGACTGTGGCACAGCTGGCTGGGAATCAGCTGCATTAAGATTACTACTGACTGAAAGGTCATGAGTTTGAAGCCAGCCTGGGTCGGAGTGAGCCTCCTACCATTGTGTAGCTTGCTGTCGACCTTTGCAGCTTCCAAAGTTTCTTTCAGATAAAGCTCTTCAGGAGTTTCTCTTGGAGAAGGTTTAAAATCATTATGAGTGCTTGTTGACCACCAGGACTGTGGCGCAGCTGGCTGGGAGTCAGCTGCATTAAGATCACTACTGACTGAAAGGTTCGAAGCCAGCCCAGTTTGAAGTGAGCTTCCAACTAATTTGTGTAGCTTGCTGTCAACTTTTGCAGCCGAAAGACAGTTGCATCTGTCAAGTAGGAAATTTAGATACCGCTTATGCAGGGAGGCTAATTTAACTAATTTACAAAACCATAAAATCTCCAGCAAGCAAGCAAAAGAATGAGGAAGTACTCCATCAGTGTCACAAATGGACAGGAAGCAACAGCTCCCCTGGTGGCCAGAATACCCTCATGAAGCTAGAATGTTAAATACCCTCTGTGTATCTGTCTATATATGTTGTGTGTCTATGGCATTGAACGTTTGCCATGTATATGTATATTGTAATCCACCCTGAGTCCCCTGCGGGGTGAGAAGGGCGGAATATAAATACTGTAAAGAAATAAATAACAACGCAGGTGGGAATTGTGCAGGCTGAGAGATCTTCTGTGGCCCTCAAAAGTCCTCAAATACACCCCAGTTTCAAAAATAATGTCAGAAAATGCTATATTGGCACTGTTCTGTTTTCGTGTTTCAGTGTCCACATCAAAACACTCGAGAACATGGTGTAATGGTTTGGGTCTTGATCTCTGGAAGACCAGGGTTTCAATTCAAAATTCAACCAAGGAAACCCACTGGAAGCAAATCACATTCTTGCAACCCTTTGTAGGCAGGCAATGGCATACTAACTCGGAACAAAGAAAATATTTTGAGAGGGTCACAAGTTGACTTGGGAGAAAAACTGAAAGTGAGAGAGATATAACTTTGGTTTCTACAAAAAAAAGATGGTGTCTGGCTCACAGGAGTCAGAAGTACCCACAATAGTCATGGTCTCTACAAACATACAAAGAGGGTGGCAGCTTAAAACAAGGACAGAGTGAATGGGCATTGTTTTTAACAGCAGAAGGGATTTGTGAAAAAAAATCTATAAACCTCCCTGTTAAAACTTTTCTCAAGCTTTACTGGGTAACCTAGCATTTGGGAAGGAAGGTTGCAAGAACATAAGCAGGAGGCATGGAGGGGATGGATCAGCCGCCTTAACCATCTCTTTTTAAAATGTGTCATATTTTACTTATTTCCTTTGAGATTATTGAGAGCAGTCAGGATAATTCCATCTCAGCTCATTTAGTTCTCAGCTTCTGAGCCATTAGGCACTGATCGCAGAAGTGGTGTAACCTACTACATGCAATGTAGAAGGGAGCAAAGAGTTCTTGTGGTGAACATATGAGATATTATAGAAACAGACACCATGTTGTAGGTATTTTAATGACACAATCTACCTACCTACCTACCTATCTCTTTATTTATTTATTTATTTATTTATCTATTTAGAAAATATCTCAGCTGCCTTTCCAAAGAGTTGTAAAATGAAATACGCATTCTAATGGAACTCCAACCAAGATCATAATATTCTGTGTGGCTATTCTCCACGCTGTTTTGAGAAGCAAAAAGATCTCTAAGAAAGAGTTTGGGTCAAAAATACTCAAATTTGGATCCCCATTTATGGACTTCTCTGTCCTCCTTGTACAATCTGTCTTTTACATTAATATATAGCTAATGATGATACACAGCTTCCATAAATCACCTTGAATTCCTTTGCAATCCTAGTTGGAAGTGGGTCATTTGGTCTTCGCATCTGGTGAGACACATGTCAGATGATGACATGCAGAGTGCGCAAAATGGATGTCATGTTAATTATGATTAATGATGGGTGCTGTTGAAAGTTGCAAAGATAATATCTGTGATCATCCTGGTAATGAATTATAGCTATTATGAGGATACTATCAACAATGTCTGAATGGCAGACAGCATTATCAGTTTTCATTCTGCTCTTCCAAAACCACCTGGGGCAACTCCAATTTTACCTAAAAGCTGGGCGTTCTGTGGAACTGAAATAAGGATGGCTGTGATGCACATATCTTCCATTGTATGTTCAATAATATTAATTAAAGTTGGCCTCTTTGTAATACCATGTAAAATGTGCTTCCACAAAATAGCATAATGTATATAAAGTGTCTATTCCTGCTTTCTAAAGTACATTTCTGTGAACAACAACAAATATGTTTTCTCATTCTAGTGGATTTTCCAGCTTTAGAGAGTGATATCACCATCCATGGGGAAGACTTTGGAGAAGACAGTGAAGATGGTGAGTATGAGATGTGGCTTATACAACGAACACCTTGTAGAAACATAGTGGATTCTTGTATGTTCTGCACTTATTCTGACTTAAGAGTTTCACCATAGTCATGTTACAAATGTTGGCTTATAATTTGATGGTTCTGCTATCTCCAAGACAAGAGCAGTATTCTGGTGTTGCTGGAAATAGCAGCAGATGGCAGTTGTATCCTGGAAGGCTTCCCATAGAATATCAGACTAACTAGAATAGTTTATGACCTTATCCAACACTGTTGGGAAGTATATACTCATGACATTAGAGATGGTATATTTCTGCAGCATTGGGTCTTGCTCCTCCCATGTTCCATATAGGCAGGGCCTCATTGACATTAATCATTCTGACAAAGCAGGCTCCCTTTCTTAGTTCCATCTTGCTTCAGGTCTAGTAGGACAGGACTTGATGTGTCTGGTTGTATGCCTTTTGTGAAGATCTTGTGCTGTTTTTCCCTTTTGAGAAAACTTACTTCTTTCAGAATACCCTTTCTTACCCAAGTCTTTCCACCTAACAGGGGCTATCCTCAATGTGTTATGATGGATCACAAATGCAGTCTCATACTCTCCTCTGATGAGGAGTCAGGCATTGATTGATGATAAATCTTCAATGGAGACAATTTTTCCCCATGACAACCCTTTCAAGAGTTTATTTCCCTTACTAGAGACAGATTTCTCTCACTTCCTGTTGTCTCACCCCCATTCTTAACTGTGAGTCATTTGTAAGATGGATTAACTCGAGGACTGCATCAAAGAGCAGACTGATCTACCCACACTGGGTGAGACCCCACTGTTGTTTGCATCCTGGAGAAACAGGGCTAAGCATATGATAGGCCTGGAGAACACAGCTTTGGCTACAAGGATGGGTGAGACAGATGTTCCTGTTTCCCTCTAACTTAGTGGTTCTCAACCTGTGGGTCCCCAGGTGTTTTGGCCTACAACTCCCAGAAATCCCAGCCAGTTTACCAGCTATTAGAATTTCTGGGAGTTGAAGGCCAAAACATCTGGGGACCCACAGGTTGAGGACCACTGCTCTAACCCCTTCTTACTGAGGAACAGTCCTTTCCTCTGGAATTGCATCATTAGATTTCTTTAATAAGGTGGCAGGCAGTGAAAATCTGGAAGTTGGGGAGAGTGATGGAAGCAGCTGGAAGTACAAAGGTTACCCAAAATGCCAGATGAACTGAAAGGTTCCATATATATTGCCATGAAAAACAGCGCAGGCCAGATAGAGAACTTTTGGATGGCCACAGGCCTTCTAGTGGCTGGAAACTTGTGCAGCAGACCAGAAAGCATCTATCTTCAGAATCCTCTCATTCTTCTCAGGATTTGAGGAAGAATGCAAAGAAGGGGCACCTGCTGTGGTTTCTTGTAAAGTTAAAAGAAAGACAAATCGTGTCTCTACTGTTACGTCTGTTGTAGACACTAAGACTTCAGCCTCTCCAGAGATGTCAGATAGGATGGAGAATTATCCTGACATGAAGAGGATTCTTTTCATGAGCATGTTTCTGTGCATTTATTTGAAGCAAAGCATTTTCCTTCCTTCTAAAGAAGGTACAAAAGATCTTAGGGTTGGCTTCTACCACCATTCTGGTGTCTGTTACGATTTTTGAATGGGTTCCAGAAATCAAGGCTAACAATCTATTGCACCTTTTCCTGAAGGGATTACAAAGGTTATGGAAGGACAGTGGCCTTATCCTGGAGTGGCTAGCATTTCCAGCTTATGCTAGCCTCTAACCCCTCAGCTGATGGAAAATTTGAAAGGATGCCTTACTGTGAGAGTTCGCTTTTCACAATTCCTCTAATATTTGATAGGAATTGATGCTTTGACTCTTTTGTTGGAAGTCTATACATTTTTCTGCATTCCCTTATTTCGATTTTGGGTAGATTGGTTTGAGGTCTTTTTTTCTTAAGGATGGTGACAATACTTCTAAAAATCCAGAGGATTGAAATGTTGGAGGCTTTTTTTGGCTAAAGTTTTATTATGCTACTGTTCATACCATTAGAGTTGCTTTGGTGACCTCCTTGTTTGCAAGAGCTATTATGAGATGGGTAAAGATTTACTTTTCCTGATACCTTCACTGCTCGTCTCCTGCGGATGGGGTTACCTTGAGAACCTCCCTAGTTTCCCTGTCCTTGGGAGGAAGAGACATAGGAGGGATCCTTTGCCCTGTTGCAATTCACCTCCTGGAGTGGAGATGCCTTGTGAATGCTCACATACAGCCTTATCCTTACATGGGAGTTGGCACTGCCTGTCCTGAGGATGAGCAGACTTTGGGAGGTGGGCAGGATGGCCTTGATCCTGCTCACAAATAATTAAAACTGCAACAAAGAACTTTAGATTTTGAGCTCTGTCCTTTCATCCCAATGTTCAATATTCAGGTGGAAAGAGTTCACATCTTATTCTGGTTCTTCCAAGCCACAGTCTTAGAAGCAGCAGCCTTCAGAATTCAATAAAGGCGGTACCGCTTCCTCCAGCTTGAAGGCTATAAGAACAAACCAGTTGTTCTCATTTGGAGGGAAGGAGAGAGGAAAGAAGATCAGAAAAAGAGAAGGAAGGAAGAAAAGGAGGAAGAAGGAAAGGTAGAGGACAAAGCTAGGAAAGGAAAAAGGAAGGAAAGGGGAAGAAAAGGAGAAAGAAAAGTAGGTAGGGAGGGGAAAGAGGGAAGGAAGAAGAGGAAGAAAAGGAGGGAGAAGGAAAGGTAGGTAGGTAGGTAGGAAAAAGAAGGGGAAGAAGGGGGAGAAAGAAAGGGGAAGAAGGGGGAGAAAGAAAGGGGAAGGAAGAGGTAGATTGGTAGGTAGGAAAAAGAGAGGGAAGAAAAGAGGAGAGGCAAGAAAGGTAGGGAAAACGATGAAGGGAAGGTAGGTAGGTAGGTAGGTAGGTAGGTAGGTAGGTATGAAATAGAGAAAAGAGGGAGAAAGAAGAGGGAGGGAGGAAAAAGATAGAGAAGGAAGAAAGGAAGAGAAAGGGAAAACAATGCTAAGTAGGGAAAATGGAGGGAAGGAAGGAGGAATAAATGATAGGGAGGGAGGGAAGGGGACAAGAAAGAAAGAAAGAAAGAAAGAAAGAAAGAAAGAAAGAAAGAAAGAAAGAAAGAATAGCTTTCTTCTGCTGCTGCTGGCCTTTTCACTTTTGCTTTGTATCTTCCCATCCAATTTCTTTCCTGTTTCGCCAGTAATCATGGATGGTTTTATTCCAAAGCAACAGAGGTCATCAAATGACAGTTTCTTCAGAAATCAGATCCTTCTTTTGTTCTTAAGGTGAACTCAGTTTTTCATTCATCTCAGGTACTTGTTCTGCCTTCTTTTTGCCCAGATCTTAGACCACCAGAGAAAAAAGAATGGCAAAGACTAGATATGTGTAGGGCTCTTAAAGTTTGCTTAGATGGAACTAAAGGGTATCAGAGATACAATAATCTTTTTGTCTCCATACTGGTTCCTGAGGGAATTCAGATTCATTCAACATGGAGTGCTGCCACTTCCATGGCATGGATCCATGGTAGAATTGCTAAATTGATACATTTGCTTCTGCAGATGTGTCTTTGCATAGACTTGTTTTTTAATAAGTGGTAGTGCTGTAGCAATGTATTTCTTGCTCCATGGGCAAAGAGACTGCTTGTGTAGGTCGCGACACAAGATTGCCTTCTTTGCAGATGCGTCTGGCGGGGACGATAGGGCCTTCTCAGCGGTGGCCCCTTGACTGTGGAACACCGTGCCTAGAGATATGAGATCGGCTCTCTCCCTCCTGACTTTTCGAAAAAAGGTGAAAACCTGCCTTTTTGAGCAGGCCCCAGATACGGCATAGCTAAATGGAATTATGGAACTACTTGATAACGCAATGGAATAACGATTTGAGATGGAGACACTCACGATAATGTTTTAAGGCTTTGTATGGTTTTTATTTATTTTTATATCATACTAGCCGTCCCCTGCCATGCGTTGCTGTGGCCCAGTCTGGTGATCTGGAATATAAAGTAATGAGAAAGTGTTGGTTTCTAATATATGTATTTTTATGCTTGTGGGTAAACAGTATTTCTTGCTGTTTCTTTGTCAGGATTGATGTGGAGAGTGTCTGGTTTGCCTACTCTGGAATATTCAACATATCATAGTCCTTCTTTAGGGGTCCCTTTCAAATCTATACTATATCTCTCTCTGAGTGAATCATATATATATATCTATCTATATGTATGGCTGGATGGCTCTTTGTCAGGAGGGCTTTGATTACGTTTTCTTGCCCTGGTGAAGGGAGTTGGACTGGATGGCCTTAAGTATTTTCTGTTGGTCATGGGGGTTCTGTGTGGGAAGTCTGCCCCAATTCTGTTGTTGGTGGGGTTCAGAATGCTCTTTGATTGTAGGTGAACTATAAATCCCAGCTACTACAACTCCCAAATGTCAAGGTCTATTTTCCCCAAACTCCATCTGTGTTCACATTTGATCATATTGAGTATTCATGGCAAGTTTGGTTCAGATCCAACGTTCTTTAAGTCCACAGTGCTTTCTGGATGTAGGTGAACTACAACTCCCAAACTCAAGGTCAATGCCCACCAAATCCTTCCAGTAATCTGTTTGTCATTGGAGTTCTGTGTGCCAGGATTAGTTCAATTCCATCATCAGTGGAGTTCAGAATGCTCTTTGATAGTAGGCGAACTATAAATCCCACCAAGTACAACTCCCAAATGACAAAATCAATTTTTTTAAATGATGGTCACTCAGTGGGTTGTTAGGTGTGCTGTGTCCAAATTTGGTGTCAATTCATCCAGTGTTTTTTGAGTTATGTTAATCCCACAAACTAACATTACATTCTTATTTATATAGATGCTATTGTTTTTAACAGAATTTCTTGATTGTTTTGACTTGTTATAATTGTTGAGGCATCGAATTGTTGCCAATTTGTGAATCGCTCCAAGTCGTCTCTGGACTGAGAGGGGCGGTATATAAATATAATAAATAAATAAGTAATAGTTATTAAACAAAACCTTGCCTATGAGGGGCATCAGAGGAGCAAGGCAGCATGGGTTCCTTACCCACAACTGCAGTAAGTTACTTATATTTTGATCATACTGCCAGAAAACCATAATGGTCCAAGAGACAATGAAAAGTCATGTCTGTCCTCCTAAAGAATGGGAGAAGTTATGTATCTAGAGCTGTTCAGAGCATAGTGAGTTAATACCGGATGTACATTTTCTCCAAGGCCTTAATACAATTTCATGTGGTAAGAAAACTAGCAGGCATTTCGTGCAAAACATTACTTTTTAAACTGTTGCTGAACTTACATATTCTTTCCTCTTCTGTTGATATTTCAGTCTGCACTTCAGAATTAATGTTCTTCAGATGTGCCAGATCAAGAGGAATAGAAATTTAAATTCTTAGCTGGAGCATAAATTGGAGGCAAATTAGGCATGGAAATTTGGCAACTCAAGATACCGTTTGCTTCATTGTAGGGGGCTATCTTACAGTCTTTGACTCTTTTACACTAAACCAGAACCACAGAGAAATAATTTGAGAGAAGCAGAAAGAAAATCTTGCAGGGAGAGAATTTGAAGATTTAGGTGACATTGGATTCATGCCTCCATGCAAAGGAGAGTAGTTGACTATAGGGACTGCATTACTCCCTGTGGGAGGTGAGATGCCCCACATATTATCCCATTCAGTTGCACCCATTAAGACCTAAAATTAACACTGGTCATAGTTACCAATGGCAAGTGGAAAATGTACATCATCCATTGCTTAATGGACAGGTGTTCGTAGTACTGTCACTACACCCAAATGTGTACCACAGATGTCAATTATAGAATTTTTTTGGAGCTCATAGTCAGCTTCCATTAATGCTACCTCTAACCTGCAATCATTTCCAGTATATTTCTCTCCTTTCCCCCATTCTTCCCACCCCTTTAGAACTGTATTTTTGAATCCTAGTCTGTATGTTTTATACAATTTAATTTGTTTGTTGATTGCACTCAAATGCTGCCTTTTTCACAGAGTGTAACCATAAAAGGTAAAGGTAAAGGTAGTCCCCTGACATTAAATCCAGTCATGTCTGACTCTGGGGTGTGGTACTCATCTCCATTTCTAAGCCGAAGAGCCGGCGTTGTCCATAGACACCTCCAAGGTCATGTGGCCAGCATGACTGCATGGAGCGACGTTACCTTCCTGCCGGAGCAGTATCTATTGATCTACTCACATTTGCATGTTTTTGAACTGCTAGGTTGGCAAAAGCTGGGGCTGACAGCGGAAGCTTGCGCCACTCCCCGGAATCGAAACTGTGACCTTTTGGTCAACAAGCTCAGCAGCTCAGCGCTTTAACCCACTGCACCACCGGTCACATAACCATAGTGTGACCGTAGTAAACTAATATTCCAAATTGATACCAAGAGACAACAAATGGATACCAAGAAGCTCTTGGGCAGACCTCATACTTGATGGGATGAACCAATGGTTAAGCTCTTCAGCCAGAAATGGAAAAGAAAAGCACAGAATCAAATATTTTGGCAAATGGTAGATTTGCGTGACGCCCAAAGGAGTGGATAGACGATAAATCAGATAGGATATGATCCCAAATAGGCACAAATTGATGTAATGACACTGAGGCTAACTAAGGGCCCTTCCACACAGCCATATAACTCAGAATATCAAGGCAGAAAATCCCACAATATCTGCTTTGAACCGGGTTATCTGAGTCCACACTGTCATATATTCCAGTTCAAAGCAAATAATGTGGGATTTTATTCAGCTGTGTGGAAGGGGCCTAAGAACCAGTGTAGTCTATAGGTTAGAGAGTTAGGCTGGCTCTATCTCCCAGGATCTGATCCCAGGTCATCTGCTTATCCCAGATTATTTGGCAGTATACACTCATATAATCCAGTTCAAAGCATATCGATCCTGGGATATAGGGCAGTGGAGATCCAGTCTTACTTTCAGATTTAAGACATCATCAGTCTTATCTCTTCAACAGAGGTACAGAGTTGGGGTCCATTTTCGTTTGATTGGGAAACCTCTGAGACATTACCAGAGTTTTGCATTTTATGTCAAGGCTTCTATGTTTTTAATAGTTGCATGACAAGCACACATTTGGCAGCCAGTGAAGCTTTACCCATCACTGTATCCATGTGCTAGTAAAAACCTCATCTGTAACTCTGCACATGACTTCTCTTCAGTGAGGTTCCAGCCCAGTTTACCTGTCCGAACATATTCTCCCCTACAAACCATCAAGGGCATTAAGATCTTCCAGCGAGGCCCTGCTCTCGGTCCCACCACCTTCGCAAGCACATCTGGTGGGGACGAGAGACAGGGCCTTCTCTGTGGTGGCCCCCCAGCTATGGAACTCTATCTCAAATGAAATTAGATCTGCCACCTCTCTCCTGACCTTTAGGAAACAGGTGAAATTGTGGCTGTGGAACGAGGCATTCAAAGAATGATGGTGGAGACTGTTAACTGACTAATGTATTGACCACAGAGTGAGAATTGAGTCGTACGTTGTTTTAACTTGGCAGACTGCTTTTATGTGTATGTTATTTTACTGTATTTTTATCCATTGTTATGTATGATGTTAATTTTTTTTAAAATCGTGTCAGGGGCGACTTGAGAAACTGTAAGTCGCTTCTGGTATGAGAGAATTGGCCGTCTGCAAGGACGTTGCCCAGGGGACGCCTGGATGATTTGATGTTTTTATCATCCTTGTGGGAGGCTTCTCTCATGTCCCTGCATGAGGAGCTGGAGCTGATAGAGGGAGCTCATCTGCCTCTCCCCGGATTCGAACCTGCGACCTGTCGGTCTTCATTCCTGCCGGCACAGGGGTTTAACCCACTGCGCCACCAGGGGCTCATGATGTTACATGGTTTTATTTGTTAGCATTGAATCCTTGCTGTGAACCGTCCTGAGTCCCTCTACGAAGGTTAGAGAAGAACAGTATATAAAAGTTTTAAATAAATAAATAGTATGCATACCAGTGGGAGCCCCCGGTGGCGCAGTAGGTTAAAGCACTGAGCTGATGAGCTTGTTGATCGAAAGGTCACAGGTTCGATTCCGGGGAGTGGCATGAGCTTCCGCTGTCAGCCCTAGCTTCTGCCAACCTAGCAGTTCGAAAACATGCACATGACCTTGGAGGTGTCTACGGACAACGCTGGCTCTTCGGCTTAGAAATGGAGATGAGCACCACACCCCAGAGTCAGACATGACTGGACTTAATGTCAGGGGACTACCTTTACCTTTTTATGCATACCAGTGTTGCAGAAGGACCAGATCTCCAGAGTGGTCGCTCTGTGTGTGTCTTCCACATCCAGAAGCCTCTTGCATGATAGACACTTATTGGGCCATTGAGCCAATCTAAGGTAGAGAAGATACCAGTGGGGAACACCTCTTTTTCTAACCATCTCCTTCAATTCTCTTTCAGATTACTTGGGCCTGACAAGAAACAATACGCTGTTTTCCACCAACTCCCCACTAACCCCAAAGGTGGACAAGGAGAAGAGCTGGCTGTACACCCTGGACCCTATCCTGGTCACCATCATAACTATGAGCTCCCTGGGGGTCCTCCTGGGGGCCATTTGTGCCGGCCTCTTGCTGTACTGTACCTGCTCCTATGCTGGCCTCTCCTCTCGGAGCTCCACTACCCTGGAGAATTACAACTTTGAGCTTTATGACGGCATCAAACACAAGGTCAAAATGAACCACCAAAAGTGTTGCTCTGAGGCGTGACTGATTGCACCAGAATCGCATTTGACATTTCATTCCAGCAAGAGTGGCTGGTGAAGATTACTTTTTATATGGGAACTGAATGCCATAATCTTACACAAGCCGGGGCTGAAATACTGAAGTGGGGAGGGGTCCCTGCCAGGCCTCTTTATTTCAAATGACGACGACGATGACAAGGAAGAAGAAGAAGAAGTAGCCAGGCATACATTCTGAGCTGCAAAAACTATGGCTAATTGTTTTCATGGGTCGAGCAAAGCAAATGGGGGCTGCAATGCTTTACTTTTGATGTCTTATATGAGCCAATCTGATCCAGAAGAGTCCAAGCGTTTGGCTTGCATTCAGGAAGTGGGGAACACAATGTTGAGCATTATTCTCCACTTCCTTTCTCTGAAGGGATGGGAGAGCATCTCTCACTCACACCTCCATTCCGGTGGCCCTTCTATCTTTGGAAATGACACATAATCACACCCATACAGAGCCCATCCAGCTGACTGCCATTTGGAAAAAAACTCCTTGATTTTTAAGGGATGTGTTCTTTGCTGTAGGTTATGTAAGTCCGAGAAGCAGCGACTTCTAGGACCCAAGTGAAAGCATCTTGTTGCCTTTTCCTTTTCTGATCTGGAAGGGTCGAGCGAGGGGAGGGGGAGGTTATTAAGCTTATAGGTCAATGGGAGCAGCCGCACTTTCTTTCCAGATTACAAAGCAAAAGAGAAAAGGCAGCCTGAGGTGTGAGAGTCGACAGAAGCACCTCCTCAAGAGAAGCTGAAGAGCCTTAAAGTGATTTGTGAATAAGAGCCATTTATTAAATCCAGATCTTGGATTGAAACAGCAGAGGCCTTTATCACCAGGGCTCTTTCTTTTACTTTTCTTTCAGTCCCTTTATATATAAAAAAATCCTCTACAATCCTTTTCTTTTATTATAGGAAAATTGCAGCAAACAAAAGACACAATTATAAGATGCCCAAGAACTCAGGAGATGGCTTTTTGTATGCGTCAAGAGAAAGACAGGCTGCTATATATAAATATATTTTTGTTAATGCTGTGGCCACTCTCACGCTGATGGGGAAGAAGGAACAGAGTTAGTTATCCAGCCCACGGCAGAGTGCAGACTCCTCTCTCGGGCAGGATTGGATTTACTAGGTTCTTGTGGGTTTTTTCGGGCTATATGGCCATGTTCTAGAGGCATTTTCTCCTGACGTTTCGCCTGCATCTATGGCAAGCATCCTCAGAGGTAGTGAGGATGCTTGCCATAGATGCAGGCGAAACGTCAGGAGAAAATGCCTCTAGAACATGGCCATATAGCCCGAAAAAACCCACAAGAACCTAGTGATTCCAGCCATGAAAGCCTTCGACAATAGGATTGGATTTCTTCTTTAGCTAATACTAAGGGCTGAACTCTGCAAAGAGTTATTGACATTGCCTTTGAACAAATTATATGACATCACTTGGCCTGAACCTGTTAGCCAATGAAAGCGTAACTTCTTTGCAGAGTCAGGTCCTTAGATGGGACTCAACAATTACAAACCCAACAATGACAGTATTATGGCAACATTGCAGGGTATCGAATCGTAGCTGATATTCTAGTGTAGACATCGAATAAAAGGTCTGGAACAGTCTGTTGTCAACTTCTTGTCCCTTCAGAACAACTTGCTTTGTTGTGATTTGAAAAGCAACTTGTTCATTACCGAAGGGTTTTGTTTGTTTGTGTGTGTGTGTGTGCGTGTATGTATTTTTTTTTTCTTTGATCAAGTGCCTTAGAAAAATATTTTTCCCCTTTACATAGAGATTTGTGATGTATGGACCCACAAGGGAGGCATTCACCCTTTCCCCTGTTCCTCTTCTTTTCGTCATCATCATCACCACCATCATCATGCTCTTCTTCATATTATCTTTATCATCATTGGATCTCTACTGGGTAGAGTTTTGGCCTTTCCAGTGGTCAGATATATTTCTAATGCTGTCACGTGTACTGCTGTGCCATGCTTGAAGTGTGTTGCAGACCAGTAAAAGAAAAGTTTACAAATGCCAAGTTTTGACCTCCAATGCCTTTTATTCCAGCTCTTGGCAGCAATCTTCAAGCCACTTGCTTCGGAGAAATCGAAGTGACTGCTTTGTAGGGGCAATCTTCAGACTAAGCAGAAGGGATTTTCAGTGAAATTCAACTATTTATGGTCATTTGAGACACCTAACAGCCTTGTAGTAAACATTTTGCTGGTATAATCTTGTCACATTCACATCATCTCATGTCTTGTGATGTTCCATTGGCATAAGTATTGATACGCTTTCTGCTAGATGTATATAGCAAATAAATGAGCAAGCCTTGGGGCTACTTTACATATTACCCTTTCTAGAAGTGCACTTCAAAATGGGAGACATATCTTGGTGGACATGTGATATAATTGTACGCATGTCTATGGACTGAGGATTTGCTGCAGCGCCTTAGCAAGTGTACATTAGATAGTAATGTCTAAATGGTAATATGTAAAGTGTTGCTCCAGAGCAGGTTTGCGTGCATGCTTTACATGCCAGACATCCCTCGCTTTTGGCATGCGCATTGCACCCGGCCATGTATTAAGCATTCCGGTAGTATGCCACAATCCAACACAGAGTTAGCCAAAACACTTAGGCATGATATCAAAACATTTAACTCTGTGATGAATCATGGCCTTAACACATTGTACAAGTTTTCACACTGTACTCTGTGTGACCTTGGGATTGCTGAGAAACAGATCAGGAGTTTGGGATTAACATCCGTAAGCATGATAGACCAACTGTCTTATGGAATACATGCCAACCTTGGCCCCACATAAATCCAGAATATGCCTTCATATAGAAAAATATAGAGTATATTCTGAAAAACTACTGGCTATACTGGTTAACCATCCCTTATCTTGAATTTCAAAATTCCAAATACTTCAGAATTATTCAGATCGGTTGTTGAGATAGTGACATCTTTGCTTTCTAGTGGTTCAATGTACGCAAACTTGATTTAATGCACAAAGGTATTACAGTTGAAATTGTTGTATAAAATAACCATAAAGCTATGTGTATAAGGAATACACATATATAATAAGGAGCCCCCGGTGGCGCAGTGGGTTAAAATGCTGAGCTTGTTGACCAAAAGGTCGCAGGTTCGATTCCGGGGAGCAGCATGAGCTTCCGCTGTCAGCCCTAGCTTCTGCCAACCTAGCAGTTCGAAAACATGCAAATGTGAATAGATCAATAGGTACCACTCCAGTGCGAAGGTAACATCGCTCCATGCAATCATGCCGGCCACATGGCCTTGGAGGTGTCTATGGACAACGCCGGCTCTTCAGCTTAGAAATGGAGATGAGCACCACACCCCAGAGTCAGACATGACTGGACTTAATGTTCAGGGGACAACCTTTATCTATAAGGAATACATCAAACATAAATCAATTTCATTTTAGACTTGATTCCCATCTCCAAGATACCTCATTATGTAAGGATATACAGTTGTAGGTATTTCAAAACTGGAAAAGATTGAAAGAGCTTCTCCAAAGCATTTCAGATAAGGGATACTCAACCTGTACATCCAATCACTCTTAAAACCAACAGCATAAATGGAAGCCTTTAGTTTGTTCTAGAGGAAGTGTGTGGAACATAAGGTCCAACAGATATTACTGATCTACCAACAGTTATAATTCTTGGCCACTGGCCACTCTGGCTGAAGCTAAGTGGAGTTGGGCTCCGTCCAATGACATCTAGTGGACTTCATGCTCTCAGTACCTATACATAGAGCATATTCTCAATTCATTCGGGGTCGAGGCTGACATGTATTCCATAAACCAGGTGGTTCTTGTAAATTTACCATAAGACCCAACATCCTGAGCACGAAACCCATGGTAGACCTCCAGAAAGCTCCTTGATAGAGGCTGAGATAGGAAAGATTCCCTAATGGTGGAACGCCCTACTTTCCAGCCCTCTAGAAACCACACCATACAAGTGCCCCTTTTGATAGACAGAGAGTTCTATATCAAGCATATGTCATGTATAAGCACATCCTCTCCCCTCTCCCACCTGCCCCAATTTTGAAGGAACTCAAAAGCATAATCATCAATTTTACAGGGTCATTTTGAAGACACTTGCTGCTACAGTCCTGAAAGGAAGGGCCCCAACTCAGCCAAAGTTAACTGCTTGTACATCTCATAGATTTCAATGGGAGGGTTCAGCATGGACTTACCTCTGGCTGAATTGCGTCCCAACCTTATTTCTCTTATGTTTGTGTGACGGATGAAGGAGGACAGGCTGTATCTGCGAAGGTCACCTGGATAGGAGTAATAGATATATTAAGAAGTAATGTTGCTGTCTATAGTAGACATACAGAGGGAGTGGAGTTCGTGTATGCATATATTTCAATACATATGTGTTTGCGCGTGCTTGTGAGTTCTCTGTATGTATTATATATGTGAGTGGTTACGTGGGACTACTTGTATCGTGAATGGGAGGCCAGAGAATTCTACTGCCCTTTGTGTGAATTTTAACAGGGGGTCGAGTGCAAAACACCAGCATCATGAAACCAACTCCCAACACTGGGGAAAGTCCTGTCCTTTGCATGCCATGTTGGTGGCCATGGGGCTTGGCGGTGTGCACTCCAAGGAGCAGAATCGGGCCATAATGCTGCATAGCTGATACCTCACTTACCTCTCTTCTGGGTGCTTTACTGTTTTAATGCAGAAAACTGTGTTTGATTGTATTTTTAACAGGGCAAGGAAACAAAAACAAATACCCCTACTGGTGCATATATATATTCATATCAGTACATTTTCATCAGCAAATACCTATGTTAGATTTGATGATCTGTTCTTCAGAGAGTTTTCTCCCTTTCCAAAATACACACACAAAAATCCTACCTTCTGGCCTTGCTAACGCCTTTGTTGAAATATGTGTTGTTCCCTCTTACCCCTCAAGGACATCTTAGTTTGGGTGGACAGGGGCTTGCAGTGTCCTCTGGTCCTTGCAGTTGGAGAGAGGTATAGACAATGAAACATAGGGATCTTTAAAAAAAAGGAAATAAATGAATGCAGGAAATAGAATTTCTCACATTTTTACCAGCTCATGGTCGTTCAACCATTTACTGGCAGAGCCAGGTCATGTGGACTTTAAAGCTTTTACTGTGATTCTTCAGTGTTGAAAGAAAAGACAAACTCAAAACTGTGTTTCTATGATTTGTACAAAAGCCTTTTAAAATTACTATTTAATAAACATTATAGTAGAGATCGTTCTCTTCTAGTTCATTTTTTTTCCAGTTGCGAAGGCTGAGATAACCTTATGGTTTGTCAATCCAACCCACAAAAGAGATCTGTATTTCGAAGAGGAAAGCCTGCATACATGGAGTAGAAGTGGGAGAAAGTGTGCATGTTCCTAATCTTCACAAACCATTGAATTTATTATTATTATTATTATTATTATTATTATTATTATCTTTATTTATACCCCGCTAACATCTCCCGAAGCCCCCGGTGGCACAGTGGGTTAAAGCACTGAGCTGCTGAGCTTGTTGATCGAAAGGTCGCAGGTTCGATTCCGGGGAGCAGCGTGAGCTTCCACTGTCAGCCCTAGCTTCTGCCAACCTAGCAGTTCAAAAACATGCTTTGAACTGGAATATATAGCACTGTGGACTCAGATAACCAAGTTCAAAGCAGGTATTGTTAGATTTTTCTGCCTTGATATTCTGGGTTATATGGCCGTGCAGAAGGGCCCTTATTCAACCTCAGTGTCATCACATCAGTTTGTGCCTATTTGGGATTTTATCCTGTTCTGATTTGTTGTCTATCCACTCCTTTGGGCATCACACAAATCTACCATTTGCCAAAATATTTGATTCTGTGCTTTTCTTTTCCATTTCTGGCTGAAGAGCTTAACCACTGGTTCATCCCATCAAGTATGAGGTCTGCCCAAGGACTTCTTGGTATCCATTTGTTGTCTCTTGGTATTAATTTGGGATATTAGTTTACTACGGTCACAGTATGGAGCCCCCGGTGGCGCAGTGAGCTGCTGAGCTTGTTGACCGAAAGGTCGCAGGTTTGATTCCGGGGAGCGGCGTGAGCTTCCGCTGTCAGCCCTAGCTTCTGCCAACCTAGCAGTTCGAAAACATGCAAATGTGAGTAGATCAATAGATACCGCTCCGACAGGAAGGTAACGGCACTCCATGCAGTCATGCCAGCCACATGACCTTGGAGGTGTCTACGAACAACGCCAGCTCTTTGGCTTAGAAATGGAGATGAGCACAACACCCCAGAGTCAGACACGACTGGACTTAATGTCAGGGGACAACTTTTACCTTTACCTTAACATCTCCCGAAGGACTCGGTGCGGCTTACAAAGGCCAAGGCCCTCAATAAAACAACAGCATAACAAATACAACAATAAAACTCTTAAAGCAAACCAATAAACATTAAAGCAATAACAGTAAAGCATTAAAACAATAACATCATGACACATTTAAAACTAAAGGCCGGCCAAATGTAATGAATAAAAAATTAAAAGTGCTGGACATCACAGGTGAAATGTAAGGATTTTAGGGTATGTGCGATGTGCAGGCAATCTTAAATCTCTAATAAAGTGTGTTTGGGACATGATGCTGGGAGTTTCCTATTCTGGAAAGGCACACTGGAACAGCCAGGTCTTCAAGCTCTTCCTAAAGACTGCAAACGTTGGGGCTTGTCTGATGTCCTTGGGGAGAGAGTTCCAGAGTCGGGGGCTACCACAGAGAAGGACCTATCCCTCGTCCCCACCAAACGCACTTGCGACGCAGGTGGGATTGTGAGCAGGATGTGATTTTGAGCAAATCCTCATCTTCACCAGAGCTTGGTTTTTAAAGAAATGTTAGGGCCTATGGATCTTAAAATCTGCAGGCAGCATTATTTATTTATTTATTTATTTAAAACATTTATATTCCGCCCTTCTCACCCCGAAGGGGACTCAGGGCAGACCACAGCATTTATATGGCAAACATCAATGCTGGGACACAAATTCACATACAATACATAAACATTAAAAAAAACATTTATCAAAATATTAAAATACACCATTTAAAACCGTCCTAGTCATCCGCATCAAATCCAATTGGCCCTGTCATCTTTCCTATTGCCGCTTTATTGCCCTGTCCCGAAAGCTTGGTCCCACAGCTAAGCTTTTACCATCCTTCTAAAGGACAGGAGGGAGGGGGCTGACCTGATCTCACCAGGAAGGGAGTTCCATAGCCGGGGAGCAATCACCAAGAAGCCCCTGTCTCTCGTCCCCACCAATCATGCCTGTGACAATGGCGGGATGGATAGCAGGGCCTCCCCGGAGGATCTTAATCTCCGTGATGGTTCATAGGGGGAGATGTGTTCGGACAGGTAATTTGGGACGGGGCTGTTTAGGGCTTTATAGGCCAAAGCCAGCACTTTGAATTGTGCCCGGTAGCAAACTGGCAGCCAGTGGAGCTGGCGTAACATGAGAGTTGTATAATCCCTGTATGCCGCCCCAGATATTAACCTGGCTGTCTTTCGTTGGACTATTTGAAGCTTCCGAGCAGTCTTTAAAGGCAACCCCATGTAGAGTGTGTTTCAGTAGTCTATCCTAGATGCAATGAGAGTGTGGACCACCATGGCCAAGTCTGATTTCCCAAGGTACGGGCGCAGTTGGCGCACAAGTTTTAATTGTGTGAATACTCCCCTGGCCACCGCTGTAACCTGGGAGTGATACAACAGTAATTGAGAGAAATATACCCTTCAGAAGGGAAATTCACTCCTGAGACAGTTATCATGGGTGAAGGAAGATTCCAGCATGTGGATTATAGGATGTGTAGTCCACACTCAGTTACTAATTATGCCTCAGAGCTAGTTGCACACAGTAGGAACTGGATGATGATCTGAACCTATATATCTGCAATCACTGTAACATTCAATATACACACAGTCCTTGAGTTACAAACATCCAACATACAAACGACTCCTAGTTCAGTGTCCTGATTTGCCCTTCAAGAACAGCCTTAATACCTTAATTGAAAGTAAATGAAAAATGCTTTACTTCAGCAAAACATAAGAGAACAGCACACATAGTTGTTTAATGCAAAACAAAGCAAACAAGTCTTAATACAGACAAAATACTCAAGTCTCTGATAAAGTCCAAACTAAAACAGCAGTCTCACATCAGATGAAGAACAACGTGTATTGACCAATAAATCCTTAGAAGCAGTTTCTCAAATGCAGATTTGAAGCAGGTGCAAATGGAAGTGAAGGCATGAGCATCAGGGTTGTTTGTTACCAGCAAAAGCTGAGTACTCCTGCTTCTGATTTATAGCCCTGAATTCCCCACGCAGGAGGTGCTAGGGTGGTTCCCAATTACTTTGGCGTTTCTGGCAGCTATTCTAGCTGAACGGCATCTCTGCTCTGTTTCCTTTCCACTTGCAAAACCTCATCCTCTGATTCCAACTCCCCTTTTGATTCCCGAAGACTTTCCTGCTCGCGCTCCTCTTCTGAAGATGAGGAATCCCTAACATTCAAAACGGGAGTGATACAACAGGAATTGAGAGAAATCTACCCTTCAGAAGGGAAATTCACTCCTGAGACAGTTATCATGGGTGAAAGAAGATCTCCACTGAAGCTTTCTCACCAATCCTTGTTTCTACAACATGCCAAATCCAATTATCCCAGGGAGAGAATGTGCGGTAAAATCTTCTGAACAGGGGCACAGATAGCAAAACAAACACCACAGGGATGTTAACCTTTCCCTGTGCTATCCAAAGCTTGCATACACACACACACATACACACACACACACACACACACAGTATTACAAACTTACAGGCAGTCCCCAAGTTACAAACAAACAAACTTGTATATGCTCAAACTCATACACACACACACACACACACACACAAACTAGCTGTCCCCTGCCACACGTTGCTGTGGCCCATATGAGGGTTCTGTGTGGGAGGTTTGGCCCAATTCTATCGTTGGTGGGGTTCAGAATGCTCTGTGATTGTAGGTGAACTATAAATCCCAGCAACTACAACTCCCAAATGTCAAGATTCTATTTCCCCCCAAACTCCACCAGTGTTCACATTTGGGCACATTGAGTATTCATGTAGAGTTTGGTCCAGATCCATCATTGTTTGAGTCCACAATGATCTCTGGATGTAGGTGAACTACAACTCCAAATCCAAAGGACACTGCCTACCAAACCCTTCCAGTATTTTCTGATGTTCATGGGAGAACTGTGTGCCAAGTTTGGTTCAATTCCATTGTTGGTGGAGTTCAGAATGCTCTTTGATTGTAGGTGAACTATAAATCCCAGCAACTACAACTCCCAGATGACAAAAATCAATTTTTTTGAGTGAAAGACATACATTGGGTTGTTAGGTGTCTTCTGTCCAAATTTGGTGTCAATTCATCCAGTGGTTTTTGAGTTCTGTTAATCCCACAAACGAACATTACATTTTTATTTATCTATTTATTTATTTATTTATTTATTTATTTATTTATTATTTATTTAGATAGATAGATAGATAGATAGATAGATAGATAGATAGATAGATAGATAGATAGATAGATAGATAGACAGATAGATAGATAGACAGATAGACAGATAGACAGATAGACAGATAGCATAGGGAAGGATGAACACCCTTGTTGTGTTTGCTGTCTGCCCCTGTTTTATATATGACTGGAGTTCGACTTTAAGAAGTCCGTGTTCCAACTTACATTCAAATTCAGTTTAAGAAGAAACCTACAGAACCTACCTTTTTGTAACTTGGGGACTGTCTATAAGCATGTAACACTTGAGAGTCAGCATGCTATATTGTTTTGAATGTTGGGTGAAGATACTGGGAGATCAGGGTTTGAAGCGCTGTTCAGGCAGGGAAACCCACTGGACAACCCTGGGAAAGTCACACTCTGTCCCAGATTAAACAAAAGGCAAATCTTCACTGAACAGATCTTGCCAAGAAAACTTGTGAATGGTTCACTTTAGGGTTACCATAAGTCATTTTGAACGTGTACAACAACAACAACAACAACAACAACAACAACAACAACAACAACAACAACAACAACAACAGCAACAACAGCAACAACAGCAACAACAACAACAACATGTCTAAACCACTTATTTTACAAATCTAGGCTACAACTGTGCTAAAGCCACTGTGGCTATTATTATTATTATTATTATTATTATTATTATTATTATTATTAAACTAATAGAAACAGCAAAGTAACTGAGTGGCT